GCGCGCCTTGAGGCGCACCTCTGCGCAATTCTTGCAAAAAACGCCTCAAGGCGTGCGCAATTGCGGGCTGTGGTGAGGCGTACGCCTCACGTAGGCTGAGGCGCGCCTCTGTTGTGCAATTGTGCAATTTTTAGAGAGGCGTACGCCTCTTCATGAACAAATACAACCTTTGAAGCTAGGACAAGCATAGCAACTCAACAATAATATTTTGCACCTTCATACCAAAGTACTCTTCACTTTGTCAGAGATGTTCCAACCTCACAAACTCCTGATGGCATTGTTCTTATGAGGGATGAACTTATTGGCTAAAGCTTGACCTTACTCTTGATTGGTGAAAGTCCTTTTCCTTATAAGGCCCATGAAATCAATGCTCGCTAGAAAGATAATAGAACTAGAACTTGCTATTTACAGCATAACCATGGAATTACTCGGGATCACAATGAGCCAAGAGTCAAGTCAAAAAAATATGAAAAAGAGAGAAAGTGAGGGAATAAAGAATCTTGATAAATTTTAAACTATTGTTTTGGAACAAGAAATGAGAGAGAGAGAGAGAGTATTATTGTAGAGGGTATAATAAAAGGGACAAGAACTAAAGGCTCCTCATATTAATTACTGATAAATCTAACAGGGTAAGAACCTACACAAATAGAAATCAAGTTTCTTTCTAGTCCATAAGAATTAATTTCTATAAGAGTGTGACGGGTGCTTATTTTAGGCTTCAATGAGTTGTTTTAGTTTTAATCTCTAAGTTAATCGTTGGGTGATCCGCATTAACAAGAAATCTCAAATTTCGTGATCGTGCCAATTTTGTATAATTATAGTTTTCTAAGGAGATCAAATATCCCACCGTTGTCTTAGTTATAATCATAGAGCATTTGCATAATCACAAAATCCAAATGGAGTTAATTGAACATCCAACAATTGTCTTGGTCGTAATCATCAAGCAATTAAACAATTACATTAGCCATATGAAGTCAATTGGACATGATTGTCATGTACCTTGCAACCTCTTTCCCACTTGACTTAATAGTGTCTAAACTAACCTAATCCAAGCGTACAAATCTGATGGTGAGTTTTGACATGTTCCACAGTTTTGGGGTTTATAATCTAACCTTCATGAGCCATAAAACAACTAGAAAAAGGAGAAATATTTTAACATGGGAAAAAAAAAGAAGGCAATTTAGACTATGTTTCCTAAAGAATCTTCATTTCACATTATTGAAAGTAAATACAAATCAAAATCTTTGGAGAATAAATTGTTTCATAAATATTGAGCTCAACTTAACCTGGAGTACAAATTAACATTTTGTGCCTGGTGGTGAGACTTGCAATGCTTTATGGCACATAATTTTGGACATTAAAAGAGCAACATATACTTAAGTTAAGTGTTGCAGGATGAGGATGCTCAGGTGGATGAATGGCTTTACTCCTAGAGATAAAATGCAAAATGAGCATATATGTGAAAAGGTCGGAGTAGCTCCAGTGGCAGATAAGATTATAAAGAGTCGCCTTAGATGGTTTGGTCACATAAAACGTCAGCCTTCTAATGACCCGGTTAGGAGAATATATGTATTAGATTTGACCTTTGTTAAGATAGATAGAGGTAGGCCTAAAGAGACTTAGAAAATATTAGAAATGACATTTTTATTAGATTAAATGAGAATTTAAATCTTAACATATCATAATGGAGAAAAAGGATTCATGTAGCCAATCCCATGTAGTGGGATAAAGGCTTGATGTTGTTGTTGTTCTATATATGTAGTGTGAAATATCCATCAAGCATGTAATAATGACCTCTCATGTTGTGTCATATTGATGGATGGTCAATGGGCATTAAGACGAAGGCAAATGATGAGAAGAAGAGCAACTTCATGGCATAATTGAAGCAATTCTTCGATTGCGAGTTGGAAGGAGGCAATGGTGATGGTACACACTATACAACAACAACATCATCATCAAGCCTTTATCCTACTACGTGGGGTCGGGTACATGAATCCTTTTTCTGCATTGTGTCTTGTTAAGAGTCAAATTCTCATTTAAATCTATAAGGAGAAAAAATATCAGAAATTCTCGATTGCTAGCATGTTCTGCTGGGCACGAGCCAATGGTTGAGCATATGTGATTCATAACAGAGACACATTTTATCCTAATGGACGAGGTATGGTCCGTGCATGCCCTAACGAGAATAAGGCCCGACGCAAGCTATTTTTAATCATAGAAGCCAACCAAATTTAGGTGTACAAGCTCTATGCCAACAAGATAAATTGCCCAAACAAGCTAAACTTTGCCAAGCATACGGCATGATGCTACAAAGAGTTCCACTAAGACTTCCTTAGCTCAAGTTACCATCAAGATTTGCAATGACCGACGACACAATTTGCATAGCTTGTTATTCTACTTTCTTACATACCAATCTACATTAGTAGAGAATGTGAACTAAGTGAGTTGGTTGGGCAAGAAAAATGCATGTGAAGCAACTGTGTAGGAAAGCGAACATTAGGAAAAGAAAACAAAAGGTTATGGAAATATGCAAATCATAATTGGCAAACCTAGAGGCATTTTATGCTGCAATTAGTGGAATAGTGGATGTCTCCCAACACCTCATTATAAGATGTGCAAAGACCTTCAAGGGGCGAATTGCTAAAACTAAGGCATGGACCAAGACTATAGTACTAAAGAGACTAACGACTAGAGGTTAAACGAGTCAAGTCGAGCTCGAGTCATGCCTAACTCGAGCTTGACTCGCCAATCAAATCTCTAGCTCGAACTCAAGTAGAACTCAAAAGGAGAGCTTGAGCTCGAGCTCGAGCTCAACTCGTTCCACTGAAAAAACGAGCTCAAGAGATTATGCGGATGAAGGGCTATTTCTTGGAAAAGATGGAAGAAATATAGCATGAGAAACAAGATTAGAGATAAAAAAAATACCATAGAAAATTCGATGTTGTGCTACTGGAGACAGTCTTCCTCGGCATTCGCTGGAAGCTTCAAACGAACGGCACTAACTAGTTGTTGGAAACCTGGAACGAAATTGAAAAAAGGAAGGAGAAGCTCTGCCTTCGAACGAAACCCTTTAGCCATTCGCTACTTCGAATTTGAGTCGCCATTTGTTATAACCCTAGAATATAATACTTAGCATACTGGTTGAATGAATACGCAGAGTCGTGGATCGACAATCCAAGCTGTTCGACAGGTTGCCGAGTCGATAAGTGCTATGATCTAACTTGGGCTCAAATAATTCACGAGCTAAAAATGCTACTCGAACTGAAGCTCGAAACTCGTTAAACTTGGCTCATGAGCTCGTAAATGGGTCAAGCTCAAGTTAGCTCGCGAGCCAGCTTAACTTGTATGCACCCCTACTACCGACTACCATGCAACAACTTGAAGAGACCAAGGATTATTAGCAAAACTTCAAGCATACAGTTGAGGTAGGAGACTTGTGACAGGTATTAGATTTCTTATATGATTATATATGTCTCTAGTTCTCTTCCTAGTTGAACAACATAAACATGCATGATAGATAAGTGTTCATACATTATGAGTTAAAGCCTTAAAGGCATGAAATGGCATGCTTGTATAACATGTACTTAGCTTAAATATAATTGAAATGAACATAATGCAATGGGAAAATAAGTCCATGTGAAAATATTTACAAAATGGCAGTTGTCAATACTAAGAAGGCACCAACTCTCTAACAATGAGGTGAAAGATTTCAAGGTTCGGCCTTAAAAGAAATTTGTGCCAGAATGATATGATGCCAATGAATGACATGTTAAAATGAATGTTATGAAAAAAAATTGTTGTTATATTTACTCCATTAAATAATCCGATAAATTCCATGTTAAAGTTGATGCATTCATTTATGTCATATTGTACTTTTCTATGGAATTTTTAATGTTAGAATTCATATGTTTCCAGATGAGTTTATCTCACAATTGCTACACGCCCGGCGATGAGTCCGCATAAGTTTGAGTGAGTAAGTGTCGAGAGGCTAACATGCATGGGTGGCCCAACAAGCATGTAGTTGTCAGCCTAAGACCAATAGATTATGGTATGTTAAATTCATGGTTTAAAATTGCGCAATATGAGGCTCTCCTTGAGGCCCGCCTTTGCGCAATTCAAGTAAAAAATGCCTCGATGCTTACGCCTCGAGTTTTTTTTATGAGGCCCGCCTCGCCTCACTGGCATGAGGCTTACGCCTCACGCTATATATATTAAAACTTACATAAATCTTGAAGTAAATGCCCGACATTGGACTCTATAGGAAAGGAGAAAAGGGTCTCTGTGTGTGCAAGTTATACGTACAACGCTAAGACGTAGAATCAAATCTCTATCGCCTCGTAATTTCTAGCCCGCAACATATATATATATATATATATATTTCATTGTTGACCAAATCCTATTATTCTTCCAAAAAAATTCTAACTTCAAGCACGAAAATTAGCCAATATTTTAATTTCATTTCTAAATATTTGCTTCAATAACCTGCACATTTGTAATAAAGTTCTTTTAAGTGTTGCTTATTTTATGGCAAAATTATTCTACTAGTAATCTAGTAGATTACCATCGCTACTAAAGCTTATCATTAATGTTTTGTTGTTATTTTGATTTTCTGACAATTATGGTCTATATTGTTGATGCTACAATACAAGGGGAGTTTTTTTCCACTTTTTTAAATGAGTAAACTAGTAGACCATTATTATATTTATATGCATCATATTCATATCATCATATGGGTATGATTAATTAAGTCAATTGTTAAGCTAGAATTGAATTTTACAACTCGTGAACTCAAACTTAGGGCCTTTTTTGATGCAGCATTTAGGCCGGATTTAGGCCGGATTTAGGCAAGATTTTAGCCAAATCCTTCCAACCTCCAAAAAATTCGAAGTTAAATATCACGGTAAGTCTAATATCCTAAATCCCGGATTTCGTAAATCCGACTTTTTAGCAAATATCGTAAATCCGACCAAAGAAGCGCGAAAGGGGAGAACTATCATTACCTTCGCGGCAAGCTCCCGCCGCGACTTCCAATCCGACAGGAACAACGTCGGAGGAGGAGGCTGAGAAGCTTCGACTATTTCAGAACTCTACCTCACGCGAAGCAGATGAGCAACGAAGAAATGTAGAAGAGGAAAAGCAAACCCTAGACAGAGAAAGGCAATGGCAAGCGACTCGTTCGAAGCTCCCCACGCGAACCAGTAAAGCCGAAGAGGGAAGCCCTAAAACTCACGCGAACGGCAACGAGGATCAGATTAATTCTTAATTAGTCATTAATTTAATTAGCTTAATTGATATAATTTAAAATATAAATACTTAATTAGATTATTAGTAGTGTAAATATTAATCAAATAATTAGTTAATAATAGAATATTTAATTAATCAATTTGAAAATTATAATTATAATTAATAATTAAAATTTATTAAAATAATATATATAATTAATGAAATAATAAGTTTAAATTGTAATAAAATTGTCATTTGATGCAAATGAAAATTGTCATTTGATTCTTTACGAAGGATCAAATAATCACTGACTATTTGAACTTACATTTTAGTCCATTAACTTTTTAATTATGGATCTAAATGATTATCCAGTAGGATTAATTTGATAATCATTTAAAGATTCAAGATGGAATTAATATTTTTATATAGTTCTAAACTACTTTAATCTTTCAGAAAAAATTAGGAGATCAATTCCATTATTTTCTTAATCAAGATGTCTGCAATAAAGTAAAAAAAATATAGCATCTAAACAATGTGCGTATGTCTGACACACAAACATATAGTTTAGAGAGAGAAACATCATAAACTTTTTTATTTAGAAAATCTAAAAAGGAAAAACCATGAGGCCTGACCCAAATAAGAAAATTCCACTAAGTTTGGATAGATTACAAAGGTTGATTCACCCCTCTATTTGGAAATGCTGGAATTACAACATATTGAATAATCATATATAAATATGACGATGATTGATGAACAGACAGAAGTAAGGCAGTGGTTGAAAAGAAAATCCAGTGGTGGTCGGGAAGAACTCCAATGGTGGTAGGGCAGAACTTCGATGGTGGTCGGGAGAACTCTGACGGTGGTTGAGAAGAACTCCATTGATGGTTGGGCAGAACTTTGTGGTGCTCGGGAAGAACTCCAGCGATGGTCAGGCATAATTCTGGTAGTGGCCGAGAAGAACTCCAGCAATGGTCAGGCAGAACTCCGGTGGTGCTCGGAAAGAACTCTGGAGATGGTTGGGAAAAACTCCGACCGTGGTCAGGAAGAACTCCAACGGTGGTCGGGGCAAAACTCCGGTGGTGATCGGGAACAATTCAAGCGATAATTTGTGGTAAGAGAGCACCAAAATTTCTCCATTCTCTTCCTTTTTCCTCTTTCTCTTACGAGAAAAATGGGGGCTATTTATAGTTTTTTAGAGTGACATGACTTGTAAATATGTGTATGGTCAATTTTCAAAATAAGAGTGGTTTGAATGAACGGCCGATATTGATCCCCTTGATCGTGGATAGTTTACTGGTAAATTGAATGCCTTAATGATATCAGAATTCAGTGATCTTGGGTTTGTTGGATTTGTCTCGTCGAGCCGCTTGATTTCATTATAAGAATGTCATATTTAGAGTTCATTTGGTATTCAAAATTGAGCTTTGAGCAGTTCAAATATGATTTGAACCATTGATTTGGGATCATTTGGGCTCGGGTCTAGCTTGTGTTTGGTGTTGATGGGTTCGTCTTTCCGAGACGTTCAGTTTGACTATGAGATTGCTATAATCGAAGTTTGGATGATCCCAATTTTATTAATGATAAACAAAATGTTAATATAATAATAATTTTAAAATAAATTAAATTGCTTTCAAGGCTATCAATATTTTGTCATAATTTTTTCCATATAAAAAGTTATTTTTCACAAATAGGCACATAATCTCTCACATTGACATGTGCTTTTCAACCGCCCTTTAGTAGGGTGTCAATATATGATACGATTTGAATATTTCACCCGAGTTTGACATGAGAATTTTGAATTCTGGTCGACCCTTTTAACAAACGAGTCAGATTTGGGTTTAATTTTTTTCGACCCAATTGAAATATCAGGTTGGGTTCGATTTTAACTTGCGAACCTGAACGCAACCCGCTTGACTTCTCTGGCGCATGCCACTCATCGCACTCACAATCACATTCACACCTATGTTTCACAGCTTGTTGCTTGCCCTCACGCTCTTTATTTTGCCCTCACCCACTTGTCGAGGCCCTGGCCCTCATCCGTCGGCCCACTAGCTTACACTCGCTGACCGCTCGCACTCCCTCTTTGAACTCAATCGGGTTAGCTTGTTGGGTCTTCTCGGTTCAAGTTCAAGTCTAAATTTTTAACCCATTCAGATAAACGGTTCAGATTCGGATCCGGCGTGTTAAGAGCAAGCTAATTTCAAATTTAATCCCAACTCTACCCAATTAGGTGTGGGGTGCGGACGGGGAGAACCATCTACACAAGCATTGTTTGGCGCTAGGTACCCGCACTCAGTACTGCTGGGTATCGCTAGGTACTAAGTACTTATGCGGATGATACGCACTCCACACATAATAATTTTTACCAATACTTGATTGACACATCTACTCCTTATCCACAACATTTATTAAACGCCATTTGGGGCCGTGGTATTACATAGCTTCAGTCCCTGCAATCCTTTCGAGAAATGAGTGAGGGTAATTTTGGCATTTAAAAAAAACAACTGTCTATTTAAATTTATTTAAAAAACTAATATAATACTGATGATGTGGAAAATGCAAGCTCACCTTCTCTTCCCGAAATATCCTCCGCTACCAAAAGGTTTATCTCTCTTAGCGCCTCCGATTTCTAGAGAGAGAAAGAGAGAGCGAAAGGTAAAAAAAATCCTCAGGTGCGGGTTTTGTGTGGTCGCTCGTCCTCGTTATCCCTTCCTCCGCCGCTCACCTTCTTGCTCGGTTCCTACTATCCTAATTCCCACCCGTTCAGCTCCACGCGAATCGCGTTCTGATATAGTAATCGAAGCAGCTTTTGAATCGAGGCAGATCATCGTTCTCTGCTGGCTCTGCGGTTCTTCGTCTTGTACTTGTTGGCGAGTCGATGAGATTTCTTGTTTCCTTTTTCCGCTATGGCTTCTGCGCCGTCGATGTCTGGTAGGGTTTGCCGCTCTTTCTATTGGCTTATTGTTTCCATATCTCGCTGGCTTCTTGCTTTGTCGGGTTTAAAATAGATTTATTGAGGGTTGGTGGAATGCGCAGTATCGGTGGAATGCGTTAGTCTTTGCACGCTATCAAAGGGCGATACAAGCGTGCGGTATGAGTGCAGTGTGCTATCATGCGCTTGGAAGGCGCCGAGGGTTCTCACCGGTTCGCTCGCGAGCACACCATGGCCGCAGTGCTTTTCAAATAGTCGGAAGTGGCCATCACGCAGGAGTAGTCGGCCTGAGGGCTTGACTTATGTGAGTATTTACTGGTTTACGTGAAGAATTTTATGCGGATGGATTTTGGCTTGTGAGTATTGAGCTTTGCTGTTTTCGTTTTATAGAAGGGATGCTAGGAGGCTAGTAGATAAAAGGATTGACAAGCTTGGGGTATCCACGTACTATTTTGAGTAGAGATTTTATTTGAGTTATGAGTATCTGTATGAAACATCATATTTGCCATAACGGGATAATTTTGCACACGTCTGGATCAAACCTTGAAAAAATCTTGATTTCTCTCTCTGCGATGAAAATTTCTGATAAATCTCTGCAAGATAGACATGTTATAATGAGGATGCAGATTAAAGTCAGGGAAAATTGGGTAAAACTTAGGAATCTGTATAGTTTATCAAACTCGATGTCTAGTTTGCTCCATTGTATTGGCTGAATTTAACAAACTTAGCTTCTTTATGGTGGAAGTAACTACTGATGGCATTTGCCACTTTCCTTTTGTTATGCACCATAAGATACAACCTGTGAATGCCTATTTTTGATGCTCCGCCTAATGCACAGTATTTTTTTCATGCAAGCTAGAGAAATGTCTGATTATCTCAGATTTACCTGCATTGCTACATGCTTTGAATAATTTTGTGACCCTATGTATATGTTTATAGATCTTGTGTGATTCATCCATTTTGCCATAGGATATAGTTTGAAAATTCGAAATAATATTTTATTGATCTGGAGGGAATAATTCTTTAGATCTTCGGCAAATTTTTCATTTTGTATTATTAATAGCTTTACAGTTGAACTTTTCCATGGTTGAACAAAGATTCCATATTGATATCTTGTTTTTTGTGTTTTATAGGCTCCTTGGGGATGCGAAGATAGTAGTGGCAGAAAACTGAGCCGTAGAAAAAATTTTGATTTTGTGACATCTCAAAAATGCATCAAATCACCCAACTTTCCTATTTCTAGCAGAACTTGGAAGATTCTTTGTTCATCTTCAGAATCTTCACATGACATTTCACCAGAATCTCTATGGGAGGTACCATCTATATCTATTTATTCTGTCCTTTTTTATTGGAAGATGTCAAGCTGGTCTTCAGAATTCAATGAATAATTAGAATAGAATTTTTGGATGCTTAAATGGCCAAACTTTGGGTTTAGCAATGCATTACGCCATGTTTAGATTAATGATTATGAATCTTATACCATTTTGAACACATGTACTCAGGATTTAAAACCTAAGATCTCATATCTTGAACCAGAGGAGTTGGAATTGGTAAATGATGCTCTGAGGGTAAGTGTTAGCCATGCATGTAACTAATTTCTCTAAAGCATGCATCTTTGGTTTATGTATTTGACATCTTGCATTGATACTCCATGTAAAATCTATGGAAGCAAATGATTACATGTAGATTTCTCATTTGGTCAGTGCAGCTGGCCTTTGAAGCACATGATGGTCAGAAGAGAAGAAGTGGAGATCCTTTTATTATTCATCCAGTGGAAGTAGCTCGTATTTTGGGAGACCTTGTAAGTCAGGCTCAGACATTTAAATAATATATAAATGACTTCCAGTAGCAAGTTACATATATTGCTGTGGGTTGTGGTCATGACCAAAGATTGATTGACTTTTTTTTTGGATTATTTAGGAGCTAGACTGGGAGTCAGTTGCTGCTGGTTTGCTACATGACACTGTAGAGGACACCAATGTGGTAACATTTGAAAGAATAGAGAAACAGTTTGGTTCTACAGTGCGAAGAATTGTTGAGGGGGAGACTAAGGTTATTAGCATTTATTTATTTTTTCTTAGAAAGCAAGGGTACCGTTTTATTTATTTTTTGTTTATTATTTGTTTTTTTTTTTAACACAACTTAGGTATCTAAGTTGGGAAAGCTTCAGTGCAAAGATCCTGACATTTCAGTTCAAGATGTAAAAGCTGACGATCTGAGGCAGATGTTTCTTGCCATGACAGAAGAGGTATTTTCATCTATATACTTTTCAGCATTTTTCATATTTATGTGACATTATTGAACAAAATGTTGTAGGTTCGTGTGATCATTGTAAAATTGGCTGACCGGTTGCATAACATGCGCACACTAACTCACATGCCTCAGCACAAACAGGTATTTCTCACTTTATAGTTTGTTTTGAGGTACATTTCTTAATTATCTTTATTTAAAGTTGCTTTGTATGCAGGCTAGTATTGCTTTGGAAACCCTGCAAGTGTTTGCCCCTCTAGCTAAGCTCCTTGGAATGTACCATATTAAGGTACTACGGAAACTTTTGTATAATTTGGTCTTGTTTGAAGGCAACTACAGAACATCTTGCAGTAATGTTTTGCAGTCCTTATAAGAAGTAATTGATTCTCGTCTGCTAAAACTATTGAAGCTATGCCTTCTTGGTGATAATTCAATAGTTTTTAACTATAAATAATATGTAAAAACTTGAAACCACAAAAGTTATGCAACTATTTGAAAACTCAACACTTCTAGAAACTTATATTGTATCAAATTTGTTTAAAACAATTGCGCAGTCAAACTATTAAAAAACTTTAGAAAAGGAAAATAGAAGGAATGAAGTCACCAAACCTAGCTTCTCACTTGTGGCAAGAAGATGATGTCGGTCGAAAATATTCAGTCTCTTATTTGATCAAGAAGTAAACTCATGGTGGAGGGAATAAAGCATCTAACTAGAACTGTATTCAGAGCAACTTCATTGAGTTTTGTATATGTTTAGACTAATATTTATAATTAAAATTCCTTTTAGAATTCCATGTTATTTGAGTTAAAAAAATAGCCCATAAAGATCAAATAAGTACACTACCAAAAGTCTAAATAACATGAATATTGTAGAAGATCAGCCACAAGCCCACATGCATCACAATAGAGGCCAGTTGCAAGAGTTATAATCATAATGTGTGGGGAGAAGAAATTAGTTTTAAGAATCACAGTAGACTGAAGAAATTCATGGGAAAGTGAGAGGTATTGGTAGAATAAGCTTGAATTGCAATTGAAACAAGGAAATTATAGGTTTAGCAAAATGTAGAAGCAATAAACACTGAACTATAGTTGAAATCACAAGTAGCATGAGGAAACAACTTCACAACAAATAGTGCTCTACATCTATTCTAAAAAAAATTAGCTGCGATAAGTAATATTTGTTAAGCAAATATGAGCATAATTGTTACACTTAATGTAGATAAATCCATGAGTCATTTATGCAAGTCTGCCTCTTCATCGTCTTAGGTTTCTCTACTATCCACTATCAGTTGTGGACATAATTTTATCTCCAATAGTAGTTTCAAGCATAAAGTCAATGTGATTGTTTAGATAACATGCAAATAATTTTTGGATGTGATATTCAAAAGAAGTGATGAAAAGAAAATCTAAGGTTGATAATTCATGATATAAAATCAAATCAAACATATTTTAAATTGAACTAACACTCGAATTTATCGGGATTTCTAACTTGTAAGCATTTATCGCAAATCTTTGTATGAATTCATGTCCTATTTTTTCTAGCAATTAATTTCATAAGGATTTATGTAGAAATTTTTTAAGGATTTTGATATATTATCTTATCACTTGGATTGAATTGAATTTTATGTATCGACAATTCTGCAATAGATTTATAATTATTATACTAACTATCAATTTCCCGTGAATATTTGCATGAAAATAATACATATGGATTGAGAATAGTACAATGTGATGTAATGCATGTAATAGTACAATGTGATGTAATGCAGTTATATTTGAGAATAGCACAAGAGTACACCATAAATTTTAGAAGGTAGGCAACCACTTTAAATTCTATTAAACAAGAAATTGATATTCATGCAGGGCGCCATGAAATCTTGTTGATGTCTTTGAAGCTAGCAACTAAGTTATTAGACTTGAAGAAAGAAATAAGGTTTTTTTTTTTATGTCATAAATTTGGATATATGCTTATTTCAATCTCTCAAGCATTTGATCACTTGCATCACCCTGTTCATCTCTGGGCTTAATTTATTAATTAATTTCATATTAATTTTGGTTTTTTCTTGTTGCAACAGAAGAACCTCTCCCCAAACTAGTGAAACCTCAAAGGGGTCCCATCTATGATGCGCCGACACGGACACGATACGACACAGACACGGGACACCGCAATTTTTAAAAATATAGGACACGGGTGCGGCGTGGACACGGCATAATAATTTTTTAATATAATATATAGAAATTAAGGTGACATTATAGTAAAAATGATAAGCAATCATTTGCGACGTAGTAGTCTTAGGACACATTTTTATTCCATGGCCAGAAATTTTAAGTAGATGTGCCTTCACCCTAGAATAAGATCCTTTGTAGGTGCCACCACAATAATTGCATTTTAATGACACATTCCCTCCTCCAAATATTTTTCCTAATTTTGTAACATGAATTCATAATGGCTTATCAGTTTTTACAGATGGCTCTTTTGAACCTTACCTAATCCATTCCTGCCAGCAGCAGAGCTCATTTTTCTAACAAACCAATCATACATATGAATACATCAAATTAAATTGATATGAAGTGAAATTAAAATACACCAATAATAAGACAACATGAATACAACAATATACCGGTCTGCCGGGGGTCCAAGGGGGCGCTGCCCCCTGGCGGGGTTCGACCTGACCGAAGTTAGGAAAAACTTTGAAGTTCTGCTTGTTTTTAAAGTTCGTAAGTTGTTTGTATGGGAAGATACCGAGTGATACCGAGCATGTACCTAGCAGTACCGAACATGTACCTAGCGGTACCGAACATATATTGAGCAATACCGAGCATGTATAGAGCGGTACCGAGCATGTACCTAGCGATACCTCATTTAATAACCGGATCCGTGTGTTTGATTTTAATTTTAATTTTTTAAATTGCGACACGCCAATGACGTGTCGGACACGTGTCCATGCCGTGTCCGATGCGTGTCCGTGTCCGACACGTGTCCTACACTGCATACCCTCTTTAAGCGGAGTGTAGGTGCATCATTGGGTCCCATTGTTTGATGCAATAAAAAACCCTTTTCCAATTTTCACAAAATAATCCTGTTATGGTAATAGGAATTAGACCTTTTGATCTTCATTGGATTTCAACTAAATTAATCTTTCGGGGAGAAATATCATCTTTGATTAAATGGTCATAGGTTTTTGTGCCTATCTGCATAGTCTTCTTGTTGATTCATTTGGTTCTTGGTTGAAAGTATGATTTGATAAGTTATCTTTCGGTATTTAGTCGAGGTACTTGATTTGTAAAAGGTAGAGTTATTTAGGGAAATTGTGTACACTGTTGAATGCTTACATACACCTGTAATATTGTCATTTTAGCACACAATTATGCTTATTTAAATCATAATACGTTTGTTCATGCAGTCAGAATTGGAATACTTGTCTTTTATGTATACACATCCTCATGATTTTGCCGAGCTCAAGAAGAGAGTTGAGGATCTTTCTAAAGAGCATGAAAAGGAACTTGAAGAGGCATGTATAGTTGTTTCTTTAGATTCAGCCATGGTTTGCGGTTAATTTTTTCTAACTTTGAATATTGATCCATGTAACATGTAACACTAAATATTTTCTTGATCCTATCCAGGCTAAGAAGGTTCTAAGGAGAAAAATTGAGCAGGACCAATTTTTGGATTTTATGACCGTTAAAATAGAAATTTGTTCAGCTTGCAAGGAATTATACAGGTAAGGACATGCAGCTCAACAAGTTTCTCCTGTTTGTTTTGTAATTTCTTTATTTGACAAAATATTGTGTCACGACGAAATATTAAAAACTAAAATGTCAACTATAATTTTCATATAAACCAAGCCGAAGCCTATCGGTTAATAGACTATTAATATATCACAAGAATATAAAAACCCTTTTGATGTTTTTAATATTTAAAATTTTAGTTGTCGAACTATGCAGCATTGGGTAGGCTAGGGTCCCCCGCCGGAGTGCTCTCCTTCTATCCTTCTTGTGCACATTGCAAACCAATGAAGGGGCTCTCCTTCTCACTTGAGGGGTCCTTTTTTGTTTCATTTTGGTTGTTCCTTGTATTGTACGGTTGTATGGAATGCTTTTACTGATGTAACCTTCTTCCTTTTTGTTTTGTGTGTTGGGAGGAGTAGGCCTCTTTTCCTACCGCTTGTATTTTTCTTTTCTTATTAATATATGTCATGTGCAACTTTCAAGGTAGGTTAGGGTCCTGCTAGAAGACCCATGCCCCATCACATTCATGTCCTACTTGAGTAATAAAAATTTTCAAATTTCTTTCTTGCAAAGTGCACTTGCACATCTTTCTTGTAAAGTTAAATTAACTAGTGGGCATCAAAAACTAATTCTTGGACTATCATTTTGAAGATGGAAGTTTTATAAAGAATGATAATACATATACAATTGAACTAAATGGAATTTTCATACCATGCATAAAGGAATTGGCCAATATATACAATCAATTGTTCAGATGCTTTTTGCTTTATTGATTTTGGCCAACAAACATAGGTGTTTTATGTAGAAAATGTTAATCATGAAAATCATAGAGAGTACACCATGGTAGGATTTTAGCATATGTGGGAATTGTATACACAATAGAATCATTCATTAATGGAGGTGCATGCATTGCATTCCTGCTAGACAATTCATGGATATTGGAGAGGGCTATATGTGGAATTAAAAAAATTCACGCCATAGGTTTGCTAAGAGAGTTTTTTGCATTTAGTGTCAAATTTTCAGAAGACTGATTTGATTGTGGAAAAGATAGAACTAGGAGATTTCACCTTATTTTGTGATGAATTTCTATGGTTCTAGGTTTCTCATAGACACAAGCATTTATGGTTAATTACCTCTCTCGATAACGAGAGCGGAATTTTGATTAAAGTTAGTTGTTAGATAAGTGCTAAGTGCTTATTATATAGTAGCAGTAACATGGTTTTAAATTTGAAGAAAATTATCACCTTCAGCATAAAGCAGATGATGGGGGGAATGATGACAAACTTGATTAAGATTTCATGATTTTATCATCTCAGATTATTATGAACCCTAATTTATTTATTCATAGGAGATTCTTGACCCAATTTGACCAAAGGATCATTGTCAGCAATTATAGGTTGCATCATTCAAGGGGATTTTGTAAACCAGAGGATGTTAGTATGAAGGAATGAATTTAATTCAACCTTAACTAATAAATATTTTTTTGAAGATCTAGGTGACATAACCACTAAAGAGAAGGTGAAGGAGATGGTGAGTGGAGGTTGTAGATGAAGGAGAGGGAGAATAGGAAAATGTCTAGATTATTACCCCTTCAAAGATCCTGGCACCTACAACTTTTATTGCTGCACCTTTGATCCCCACTACACTAGCAATAACTTTGCTTACCTTAACTCCGACAATTGCAGTTGAAAAGTTGAGATTGGAGGCGCCACTGCTTGCTGAGGTGTCCGCCTTTGCTTAAAGTTTGTGTTGGCTAGGAAACGACTCCTCAAGCAAGATAACCTTCTAAAAGAAGAAATCCAAGAGTTTTAAAATTGAGATGACGCATAAGGTGAGCAAGCGGTTGACAGGGGTACTAATCGTTCATCCTTATCACATCTTTAAAACTTCCTATTTTAATGAATCCAACAAGGTATTTTTTTATGGGTAAAAGAGGATGGTAGAACTAAAGCTAGCTTCAATGCGGATCCGCATGCCTTTAGGGAGAATTGAATTCAATTGCTTACGATATAAGCATCTTTATCTTCTCAAGTGAGTTATAGAAATTGTGAGTAAATTCCAATGGTCATGATTCATAAGGATGTTATGCAAAGGCAAGTTGAGTGCTGACAATCAACTATGGCCTTCAAGATGTATGCTCAGTTTGAGTGATTTATCTTCAATCTACTTCATAAAATAGTCGATCATTACTAGTATAAATCACCCCTTATTGTGTGCTGGACATAAAAGACCAAGTAGGTTCATCACTCAGACAACAAATAACTAAGGAATAATGATCATTTGAAGCTTATGAGGTGGTTGTAGATTTGAAATAGCAAACTTTTGGCATGGAATGTACTTTCTTGAAAATTCTTTCAAGTCATTTATTGAAATCAACCGAAGTAGCCTTGTCATAGAGTCTGATGGTCAATCGTTCTTCCTACACTCCCCAAAATATGTTTCTTTTTAAGATGTCGGCAATCTTGGTCTCATGTGCGCATGAGAGATTATTAGAGACAGTGATCTCCTAAGGACTTGGCCATCGATGAACAAATATTATGCTATTTTGATTTTGAATCTCTTTTGATCTTTGATCTGAGCTATAGGATTTGACCTATTATGGTGTGTTTGACAAAGGGATCAATCCAACTCATTGTGAGATCAACTCTTATAGCTTCAACTTCTTTTATACTAGGGCAAGTTAAATAGATTGCAAGTCAGCCATCATTGTTACTGTACTTGGACAATAATTCAGCGAATTGACTTAATTTGAGGGATTTGTGATTCAAAAGTAGTTTTGTTTTTTTTCATTTTAAACTTTGAAAAGATATTATGATACGCCCTAGGGTTTGTGATTTGATTGATTGTTAATTGGGAGTCGAAGAAAACTGCGAGATGCTTGGTTCCTATTGCTAAAGCAAAGCACAAGCCAACAAGTAAGCTGTCATACTCTACTTGATTGCTTGTCACTCAAAAGTAAATTTATATTGCAGAAGTTAGAATGATATCCATTGGGCTCTTAGATTCAGACTCCTTGCTATCGACAAAGAGAGTGCTAAGCAAGTCTTCATGGATCTTTTTTTTCATTTTGAAACCCTTAGGAGAGTGAAGTTGGCTAATGCATGTGCCTTGATGGTAGTCAATTGCCTTGCCCATCTTAGATGTTGACCAGAGTGATTTGCCATTTTAGAAATTGGCTAGAGTGATCTAGTTTCGATAGTAGAATTTAATTCATTGTTGAAGATAAAGAATAACATCAAAGTAATGCTTTTCTTACTGTTGAAACTAACCCGAAAACATACATGGTTTCGTTCAGTTTTCTGGTAAATACCACAAGTTTCTTGATTCTTCTTTGAATAATCCTTAAACCGAATAACCTTTGATTATACTGCAGTATATACAAGCAGATGTTGAAATCAAAAACTTCAATAAAGGAGGTTAATCAAATTGCACAGGTTTGTCATAATAGTAGTATGGATATAAAATTAAACTTGACAGTTTTCACCATTTGAAACTTTATGATGCTACCCTGTCACCAGCTCCGCCTTATCATAACACCAAAGACACAGATCGGTGTTGGGCCTTTATGCAGTGCACAACAGGTAATATACTGCTTTTTCTCATGGTTTTCTCCTAGTTTGCTTATAGATTTTCCTCACGCTAATGAACTCATTGTTCATGTAGATATGCTATCATGTTCTTGGTCTTGTCCATGGGATATGGACTCCCATACCATCTGCTGTGAGTTTAATGCATATGCTTTATCAACTTTATCATTCAACTTATGGAGTTTGATAAGCAAAATTCTTTGATAGATGAAAGACTATATTGCAACTCCTAAGCCTAATGGTTATCAAAGCCTTCATACAACAGTGATCCCATTTCTCTATGAAAGCATGTTCCGGTTAGAAGTTCAGGTGATTTCTTGTTATGCATTTTTTATTACTAAGGCTGTGTTTGGGATGGCTTTCTTATTGCTTCTTAAAGCAGCTTTCAAATATAAAAATTAAAAATTTTTATCTAGAAAGCTGTGTTATGAAGCAATAAGAAAGCCGTCCCAAACAAAGCCTAAGTTTGGGAGGATATGATCCAGTTATTTATTAGATTCCGATCTACTACTTATGTGGTAATTACTGCGCCGCTTATTGCACCCATGATTTGGAGAATTTGGCAGGTAAGGACAGAAGAGATGGATTTGATAGCTGTGAGAGGTATTGCTGCTCACTACAGTGGACGAGTTGTCACTGACATGGATGGACATGGACTGTATCGTGGAAGAAATTTGAAAGGAAAACCAATGTGCTTGAACAATGCAGACATTGCTCTCAGGGTACACCAGCTGTTATAATCAAATTGCAAGTTCTTAAATGTTTGATTAATGAAATGTGAATAATAGAAAATATTTGCCTGTCTTTATTGTCTGATTCTGTATAGATTGGCTGGCTTAATGCTATAAGGGAGTGGCAAGAAGAGTTTGTTGGCAACATGAGTTCAAGAGAATTTGTAGATACTGTCATGCGAGACTTGTTAGGGAGCCGTGTATTTGTTTTTACCCCTAAAGGAGAGGTAGATCTTTTTCTTTCTCTGATTGTTTCTACAAGAACCTTGACTATTTCAAACTCTGGTTGATGACTTATGCAGATAAAGAACTTGCCCAAGGGAGCTACCGTTATTGATTATGCTTATCTTATACACACTGATATTGGGAACAAAATGGTGGCAGCAAAGGTGTGCTGTTTTAATTAGTCAGAGTTGAAAATAAGAACACTGGAACATCAATTTGTTTTTTTGCCTCCTGCAGGTCAATGGTAATCTCGTTTCTCCAATGCATGCTCTGGCAAATGCTGAAGTTGTGGAGATAATTACATACAATGTTAGTATTCTGGTTTTCATTGACACTCTTCATTGTTTTAACCTGTTAGACAGTTTTTTTGCCATCTCCATGATTTGAGTTTTTTTGTTGAATATGCTATTTGTCGGCAGTATATGGTTGTTTAGATTTGAATGTTCCTATTAAGTACTTTAATGTGTTTATACTGTTCTTGAGGCTGTTATGGCTCCTATAACAGGCATTCTGACAGAGTACTGAATTTTTAGTTACAAAAAGGATAGATGCACAATATTTTCAACTGGAAAACTATTGTTTAGCCCGTCATAAGTGGATGGAGTTTGTTTGATAACTTGCAAATTTGCATGTATTTCATTGGTTTGTTTGCCGTGTAATTGATAGTAAATACTTGAGTTTGCAAGTAATCCAAGAGGAAATACTTGAGTTCGCAAGAAACCCTAGTAGTAATTGATAAAAACAGCAAGAAAACACACAAGAACGTGATGAAAACAACCCAAAATCAGTCGATTGTATTAGGGAAATCCAAAGCAAGACAAACAAAGCAAGATACAATTGATCCTCAATTTGAGAGGAGGATCGTTCTCTCCCAATCTCTAGAAGAAGTTCTATGACCTAACCCTAAAACCACTCGTACTACTACTACATTGATTTCCTAATTCAAATTCTTTCCCTCTCTCCCTAGCCGCCCCCCTATCTTTCTTTGCTTTGCTTCTAGTGGGGCCCACGGCATAAGGCGGAACATTAATGGGAGGCGGCAAAGTGCCCGCCTCCTGTAAATAATAGCCGGCCTCTGGGCCGGTTCAGGATGAACCGGGCTAACAGTAATTTATTTTAGAAAGATTGAAACAGTGCTAAATGAGAATTCATTCATCTAATCCCTTTTTTATTTTAAGAAAATGGTTTCGTAATGTGGATGATTTGACTTAATTTTAATTTATCTAATGAACATGCCATTAGGCATTATCGAGCAAATCTGCTTTCCAAAGGCATCGTCAGTGGTTGCAGCATGCAAAGACTCGCAGTGCCCGGCACAAGATTATGAAAGTACGAACTGTTCTTTTGTTACTACTTAGATTTTATTTCTTTTTCTATTGCTCGACTGATTAAATCATTTGTTAATTAGTTCTTGAGAGAGCAGGCTGCACTTTCCGCTGCTGAGATTACTGCAGACACAGTAAATGATTTTGTTGCTGATCTCGAGAAAGAGAATGATTATGATCCCAAGTTTTCCATCCTTCAAAATGACAGAAAATCAATATGGGAAAAAATACTCGCCAGTATTGACGAACTTCCTTCAATTAAAAAGCACCGTGAAAACCTGGTACACGTTAAGAATACCTTAGGCATTCCTAAGATTAACGGGAAGCATAACAAAGCTTTTCAAAAAGGAAGCGTTAAGGTTAATGGCAGCTCTGTGATTTCAAGTGATGGATTTACTGAGCTGATGCATTCAACTATCTCAATGTATAATAAAGAAGTTTTGCCTGGTCTAGAGGGTTGGAAAGCGAGCAAAATAGCATTGTGGCACAGTATAGAAGAACATTCGGTGCAATGGTTTTGTGTAATATGCATTGATCGAAGAGGTGAGTAAAGCTCTCCATTTTCATATTTATTTAGGCCTCATTTGGGACGGCTTTCTTATTACTTATTGAAGCAGCTTTGTAATACAAAAATTAAAGTTTTTATACTAAAAAATTATTTTAAGAAGCTGTAAGAAAACCGTCCCAAACAAAACCTTAATTTGATTTCCTCGGATTGATGTAATGATAACAATTACAGGCATGATGGCTGAAGTTACATCAGCTTTGACTGCAGTTGGAATGACGATATGCTCGTGTGTGGTTAGTGATTTTTGACCTTGTAAGTCTTCAGATATCTACCAAATGATTCCCTTCCTAACTCTCAATAGCATTATTCAGGCTGAGGTCGATAGGAAAAAGGGCATGGGCGTTCTATTATTCCACATAGAAGGGACTTCTGAGAATCTAGTAAGTTATTTTTTGAAACTAGACTTTGCCCATATTTGTATTAGCAGTATTTGTGTTAAATTATACTTTTTATAAATTGTTCTTTTATTTTTTTCTATTATATGTGATTGAATATGTTTCACCTAATTCCCAACCATTTGCAGATAAATGCATGCTCAAGCGTCGACGTGATCCTCGGCGTTCTTGGCTGGACTGCCGGTTGTAGTTGGTCCAAGTCTGCAATGGATGACAACTTCTTTGAATGCTAAGATATATAAATCTTGTGAAGAAAAAGGTATTCAATTTATACGTTAAAGGTCAGAATAATAAGAAGAGACCTGCAGTCAGCTAATTTTGATAATCATTGGAAGAGGAGGGGGGGAATGTACATAGGAAGAGCAATTAGGTCTCAGTCTTATATGATTTTTTGTGCAGGCTGTTCAGACTGATTGATTGAACACTTTACTGTGGAAATGTTAAGATTAGTTATTTATGTTTTTTTTATCCATTTTGTTACTTATCAATTGACTTTTTTTATATGAGTGCATTTTTTGTCTGGGCTGGCCTTTTTTGGGTGGCATCAATGGGTAAATATTAATTCACCAAAAAATTTTAGAGTGAAGCTGCTGCTAATGCAAATGACAGCTTTATAGAGTAATAATGGCTGGAGGAGAATTATTCTGTACGGACATCGGATAATTCTGAGTGCGAATTAATGTCATGTCGTTTGGTACATAATGGTTCATAACATAGGTACACCGCAAAAAAGTGATTTAGCGCATCCTGATTTGTTTTAAATGGCATCCGGTGTTCACGCAGAATAATGGATGAGGGTCTTATATTTTCATGGAATTTTCTAATAGAAAGTAGGGATGTCAAATTTTGACACAAACCGAAACCCGACCTGAACCCGACCCGGAAAAATCCGGGTTCGGGTCAACCCGAACCCGAAACAGGTCTGGTTTGGGTTGAACAAATCAACCCGTTCAAAAATCGGGTCGGATTCGGGTTGACAAAGTAACCGAAATTGACCCAAAAGTGACACGAAAACTCATATTTGACCCGAAAATTCGAGATTGACCCGTTTTTGACCCGATTTTGTCCCTAAAATTGAATATTGACCCGATTTTGACCTGAAAATTAACAATTTAAGGTCAACTTCGGGTCATTCGTGTCGGGTCGAGTTGACCCGGACCCGAATTGGGTCGGGTTCGGGTCCGAAAACCTGACCCATTTTTAAAAACGAGTCAGGTTCGGGTTGACCCGAACAGTGCCGAGTCAATTTCGAGTTCGACCCGAACCTGACCCGCCGACCCGAATTTATATAATACTTTTTCTTACAATTATCACATTTTATTATACAAAAAGATTTCTTATAGTGAAATTTTTTTTTAAAATAATAACAATCAAACAAAAATATGACAAATCTAAAAATTAAAATAGCAAAAATGCTCCTCATTTCTCTCTCATTGGTGATCTGCAAATGCTCAGAGAGAGAGAGAGAGAGAGGAGAGAGAGAGAGAGGAGAGATATTTATTGTAAAAAAGATGTGCAGAAAACTATTGTGATATACTCATGATTAGGGTTTAGGGCATTAATGTTTGATCAGAAACATTTCAAACCCTAAATCCCCGGCTATTTCTCCTGCCCCTAGCCTTCTCAAATTTTCTTCCCTTAGAACGGACATAGGGTTTTGTGTGGCTGTGTGGAACACCAGGAGCTGGGCCAAAGTGCTTCACTGCTTCCCTGCCATTCTTAGGACCTCTCAGAAGAACCTGTTGTTGAATAAGCAGGAAAGATTATTAGTGTTAACAATTCAGAGATGCTCACAAAATGAGGTGAGATTGTTCAGAACTTGAATTGGATTGCATTCTATTTTGATTGAAATTATGGTATTTTAAGCCATTGTTGTGATTATTGCATGAGTATTGGAACTTGAGTAATCTCTTAGGCTTCATTTGAGATTATTTCTTATTGCTTTATACAACAGTTTTATGGTAAAAATTTCTTTGAAGGAGCGAAAAAAATAATGATCTAAAGTTATTCCAAACAAAGCCTTAGACCAACTCCAACCGAACTACATACCACAATATTTCGCTGCATTTGAACTCCAAATCTCATGCCAAAATTTAATAGGTGAACAGTGCGAAGCCAATATTGCTGTCAGATTGTTCACATTCCCCAAAAAATTGTGTTGCTCAATTTGCCGAAGACGAGCGCGAAAGAGGAGAGAGATTGTTACCTTCGCTGGAAGCGTGCGAAAGAAGAAAGAAATGCAGTTCGATTGAAGACGAATTACAACAATTTGAAATTTTATTACATTTCAGATGGGAAAATAGGTTTTTCGGTTGGAGATGCCCTTAGTCTCTATTAGATGCTAGTTAATCTCTCCCAATTTTCTCTTTTTTTTGGGACATTTAGGACATTTAAGGCAATCTCAAACATAATGCATACACAAATACTCGAATCTGAGACCTTTTTTAGTTGGAAGTCTAAGCTCTCAATCAATAGGCCAAGGTGAGCTGTGTCTCTCACTCTTTTCACTACCCTAATTCTCCTCTTATCTACTAAACTAAACAGTGGATCAGAGCTAGATTTTCATTGTAAAACTTGAATAAAAAAAAAGGAAAAAAGGCCATAAAAACAGGCTCAAATGTCAAAATGAAAACCTATCTATCTATAGTAATTAGAATATAGGATTAAATCTAATATATTCCTAAACAATCCACAAACAGTGGCAATGCTCTCTATAGTAACAATACAGAAATACAGACTAAATAATAACTCTTGCAAAAATTTAGCCTACCATGAATTTAATACAATGCCCAATTCATGAAAGCCAAAACTAAATTGATAGATATTTATACTTCTACTATTCTGAAGAGAATATGATAATACATCAATAACACTTAAAGTTTTAGTTGTTATTTTACAAAATAAAAAGTAATATAAGAAAATATTTATCATTTAGCTTCAGAAGAAATATTTTTATGTTTTTAGAAGCATATTTTCAATGAGAAGAATAAAATAATTAATGCTCATGAAAATTTTTTGATGCAAGTTATATATTATATGGCTGATATGATGCTTATAGCTTGTCTTATTATTAATAATTTTAAAAAATATAAAAAATTCTGTTTGGCAATATTAAGGTAAAATTCGTATTTAAATTCTGCTGAAAACATAGGGTCAAAATAAAAATTTACACAAACTTCCTATAGACTATGAAAAGTTAAAAAATAATCATATTAAAAATTATTTTTAAAAATGAAGAAATTAATGTAGGAAAATTAAATTGAAATTTACATAGCAAACAAATATTTACAAAATTAAATTTGCTAATATAAACTAAAAAGGCTAATTAAAATTCAAAACAAAGATGATATAAAGAAAAATTAAACACAAAATCAAATAAAAAAAGGAGAATTTACATACATATCATTTTATTTCATGCTATTTACATATCTAACACCTTAACTTTAATATTTCATGCCTACCACCTATGGATCAAATATGGATGCAATGAATGAAATATCAAAGTTTATAAAGTAGTATTAGTGATAGTAATGAAATATAGTAGTGACATATTTGATATTAAAATTGTATATAGGTAGTAAATATGAAATTTTAAAATTTTAAGTGTTAGATATGTAAATAACATCAAATAATGGTATGGGTCGCAGTAATACAATACATGAGTGACATATTTTATATTAAAATTGTATATGGGCATAAACTATTAAAGTTTTAAGTGTTAGATATATAAATAGCATAAAATAAAGAAAAACAGTTAGAAAAAATAATCACAATTCCTCTCAAAGAAATCATTCCAAAAGGCAAATTTAATGTGTTTTCTTCTAAAAACTCAAAATTATTTTGCGTTCTCTTAAAAATGCAAATAAAATTTTCCATTTATGTAAAAACACAGATTAATTTTATGTTTATGCTCCATCTTAAATTATAATCAAGTTGATCCTCTTCTCCTTATTTGATACTTTTGATATTCTGATTTATCATAAGTTCTTGTTATATATGTTACTTTTGAAAATTGGGCATAGCACAAATATTTGCCAAAATTTAAGAATTGGGGAACCAAACGGTTTTACCATTATGCTTTACTAAGGCTTCGTTTGGGACAACTTTTTTGCTGCTTTCTAAACGAAATTTATGTACTAAAAAATAGGTGTATAAAGTAACAAACAAAAAGTCCAAGCAATTTTATAAAGTAACAAAAAGCTGTTCCGAACGAGAGAAATTATTCTATGCGTACGCCGAATCCGTCTGGAGACCAACTAGAATGAGCCATGCCAGTACCGCGGCTCAGGACTGGTCGGTACCGCGGCTCGATACTGCTCGGTACCGCGCTAGGTATTGCTTACGTGGCTCATTATGGTTGGTATCTGAATTTAGAAATGTGTTTGGCATTCGGCGTGCCCCCGAAAGAAGCCTAAATCCAATCAAATTCTTCTTGAATAGGATTGATCAAATTCAGGTTTACTAAACCCTAATTTCAAGTTTTCAACCAAACAGACTGCAAGAATGGCAATGGGTAGAAGATTTAGTACCGTGTTCTGCCCAAGAGGTGCACGAAGGGCAAGCTGATCGAAGGTAAGGCATTCTCCTCCGGCCTTCAGTATCCTCGCCCTCGCAGTCTCCGTGAACCTCAAAGCAGTAACCTTGAGCGCTGGAATCTCATGCACCCTCTTATCATCCGTCACGGTTCCAACAATTACAGCAATATTGTTCTCCTGAACACAGAAAGATTTTTTTTTTTCTTTATTACAATCCAAAGTCTGTAACGAATTGAATCGAACGAACAAGCATCCGTGGAATTCCAAAATCGACCTTCCCGTTCATGAATTGGATGAGCCTCCTGAGCGAGATTGGAGGCTTATTGACCTTGCTCATAAAAAGCCGCTTCAGAACAACAGCATTAAACTTGCTTCCAGTTCTCCTCACCAGAAACCTGTATAGCTATCGGAACAGCATAGCGGAAAGAAAAATCAGCCGCGTTAAATAAACCAGAGGAACGACTATCAGAAATGACGTTTCGACTCAGATCTGATCACCTTGACGAGCAGCTTGAGGTAAGCATCATCGCTCTTCGGCGCGGTACGCTTCGTCTTCTTGCTCCTACCGCCGGCGATGAGATCGATACCCTGGATCGAATATAGCAAGGACGATTAGGTTTGACCGATTAGACAAGAATCGAGAGAGGACCTGGGGCTCGATTAGGGTTCTTGGCATGGAGAAGGAAGTACCATGGCTCCTAGACGGCCAACCAGTCGGCGCGCTGGCGGCTTCTCTCCTGCATTCCGGGTCTCTTGTCTGCCCTAATTTGCCAAACTTTTTATACTACACAAAATTTTGTAAGTGCATCTCCAACCGAAAATCTCATTTTTCACTCCAAAATGCAGGGAGATCAAAAAATGCCGTATTTCATCTCCAATCCAACGCCATTTTGCCGCTAAAATGTTCGTTTTCTTTCGCGCCTTTCTTCCCAACGTGTTCGGTAGAGAGGAAAAAAATGGCGCACATGAACAGTGCGACGAAGATGGTCTGATAATTCAACTTGAATACCTTTTTATTAGACATAATAATAAATTTATTAAAAATTTATCTGCATTTTATGCACTTACAATTTGATTATATTATATAAATGACTTAGATTTTTTTTTAGATAGATTCCTTATTGCTTTTTGCTTTGTAGCCGAAAATTTGCTAGTTCAAAAAATTTTGGAACTAAAAAACTGCTTTATAAAGCAACAAGGAAGCTATTCCAAATGAAACCTTGGTTATCACGTCTACTTTAATTATCCCAAATTTGGTCGAAATGGGCATTACATTCATCGAATTTATTTTGAGATAAATGCAATATAATTTTTTATTGATTTATCATGTATTACAATCATCTCAAAGAAAATATGATAGTTATATGAGTTCATTGGAATACACAATCTAATTCTAACACAAAGAAAAGAACAAAAACATTTTTTTAAAAAAAATCAATACACAAAGCCAAATAATTGTACACATATTCATTTAGGTTTTGTTTCGGACGAGTTTTTTACTGCTTTCTAAAGCATCTCTCTAGTACAAAAATCTCTCAAAAATTTTTGTACCATAAAACTGCTTTAGAAAGCAATAAGAAAGCCACACCAAACGAAGCCTTAAGTGATAATTACATCTTATTACATCCTTGGTAATATTATTTGATTGAGGCATATTACAATACTAATTCCTCAGATATAACCAGAGGCGAAACCGCTTTTCATTTTAGGGGGACAAAATTTTAATATAAATACACTAATATTTTTTAAAAAATAAAATTAAGACACAATTCAAAGCAAAAAAAAAAAAATTGCATTGCATTATAATAGATAAATTGGAAATTATTACAACTTTATTGATTTATTTTACATTTTTTGATGATGTTGCATAACAACTTCATTAAAAATCAAATTAAACACATTTTTTCAATGTAAGACATCAAATAGTCGTTGAATCAATCATCACTCATCTTACTATGCAATTGATGTTTGATAATCCTCATTGTAGAAAATACTCTATCAATTGTAACAGTAGCAACTAATGTTAGAGTAATAAGTCTATAAACTAAAGATACACACCATCCTTCTTGACCTTAATAACTTGCTTTGCAAGATCAGCAATACTGCTTAGAGAGGAGAACTCATCACTTGTACGCATATCAATAACATAAATTAATAATTAATTTTTAAGAGCAACAAGCTCAATTTTAGAAAAATTATCTAGATATAACACTGCCAGACACATTAATTTCCTCTCATCATAAGCAAGGAAGGAATCACTTGAGTTTAAGCATGTTACATAAAGAAGCAACTCAATATTAGATTCAAAAAAGCGGTTGTTTAGCTCTTGAAGTTGCATGTTAACTATAATATAAATAGCTGAACACGATAATGATATGGATAAGTTATCTCTTCACCTCTTCGTACTGAACCAACTAAAACAAAGCTAATGCCATGTTTTAGTTCTTTGTTGGTGAGTTCATGGTCCAAATAAGTTGGAATGAACATTGAAATCCCAAGAGATTGGGGTGCAGTGAAGTGGACATTACCAAGGCAATGTTAAAGGAAAGCAATATAATTTCTCCTACTCCTATCAACAGATTTTGTGGAGTTTAAAAACTCTAATTACAATCAAATGATTATTTTATTTCATTTTAATAAGCTTTCAATCATTCAAGCTACTAATTAGGCCATAAGACAAGAGGAACACCAAAAGGAAGAATGAAAAGTGGAATAAATCATAATGAAAAAAAAAAAAAAATCTATAACAACAAGATAAACAGTTCTGCCCCTGGATATAACATAAAGTCCAAAAGATAATCATCCTCTTTATGTCAAGATAAATAGTAACAAAAATATAAAAAAAAAAACAAAATATATTTTATAAAAGAACTTGCAAATATTAGAGACATTTCAAAAACTTTGCCTAAAAAACTCTTCTCCTTGCACCCACAATAGTGACTTCGGCGCAAATCAATTGGAAACAAAGGGTTTATTGGGAGAGTTTTTGTTGGAGAGTCTTAAGAGGGACGTTAGCAGATTAGTAAAGCGGTGTCACACCTGTCAGTTAGCCAAACAACG